GAAGTTGCCAACTGCAGAGTCAATAGCTAAAGACCTCCAAACTTCATGTGGCCTTCAGATTAGCTCAACAGTGAGTAGAGAGCTTCCTGGAATAGGTTTCCATGGCTGAGCAGCTGCTTCCAAGCCTTACATCACCAAGTGCGATGCAAAGCTTCGGATGCAGTGGTGTAAAGGATGCCGCCACTGGACTGTAGAGCTATGGAGACATGATCTGTGGAATGATGAATCACGCTTGTCTGGCAATCCGATGGACGTGTCTGGGTTTGGCAGTTGCTAGGAGCATGGTAGTTACCTGACTGCATTGTGCCAAATGTAAACTTTGGAGGAGGGGGGATTATGGTGTGGGGTTATTTTTCAGGGGCTGGGCTTGGCCCCTTGGTTCCAGTGAATTGAACTCCTAAGGCGTCAGCATACCAAGACATTTTGGACAATGTCATGTTCCCAACTTTGTGGGAAAGGTTTGGCGATGGCCCCTTCCTGTTCCAACATGACTGCGCACCAGTGCACAAATCAAGGTCCATAAAGACATGGACTAGCAAGTTTGGGGTGGAGGAAATTGACTGGCCTGCACTACAACCCTATAGAACACCTTTGGGATGAATTAGAGCGGAGACTCTGAGCCAGGCCTTCTCATCCGACATCAGTGTTTGACCTCACAAATGCGCCTCTGGAAGAATGGTCAAACAATCCCATAGATGCACTCCTAAACCTTGTGGACAGCCTTCCCAGAAGAGTTGAAGCTGTTATAGGGTGGGCCAACTCAATATTGAACCCTATGGACTAACACTGGGATGCCATTAAAGTCCATGTGCATGTAAAGGCAGGCGTCCCAATACTTTTGGCCATATAGTGTATATATGCATGTGTAAGCTTTGGTGTGCACACCCTGATGCAATAGGCCATGCACACCTATGACTGGTGACTAGTCTTTAGCTCTATGCCTGGACTTTTTCGGCTCCCTAAATTGAAGCACACATTTTTTAAAAGATAAGTTGTTAGTGTCCTGGCTGTTTTTGGCTCCAATGAGTTTGAAACACAATCCCAGAACATGCAAGCTGTAAAGAATTCTTTATCTCTATATTTGCTTGAGGTCAGTGATTCATATAGTAAAAAAACAATGTATCAACATAACAGTCAGGTGACTAACATTGTCAGAAAGCAGTCAGTCATGGCAACCTGCATAATTTTCCCATGCCAAGCATACAATTACTTTGTGAAGTGAACATTCTCTAATACTTTAGTATATCAGCCCTTCTGATTCAGAACAAGTACTCAAGAAATCAGAACCTACATATTTGTTCTGAGGATTAGCAGGACAGCAGGGAAGAGGGTACACCTTTAGAACAGAGAATATCAAACCATGTTAATGTTTAAATAAATCTCTTTCTGGTAAATCCAGTGGACAGCTTTGCAGCAAAACTGAAAAGTAAAGTGGACCTTCACTAATCAAATGAACTTTCTCTCAACTGCCCCCCACCACATCCCTCTTACAAAGCACCAATAGTTGAATTAATTTTAAGCAAATATGTAGTACATAGTGGTACCCACAACTCCCTGGTTCTTTACCTAGTCGAGGGTGTTGTAAGCTAACCCCAACTGCCTCCTGAGATGTCCATGTCCTGCTGTGTTTTAGTGAGTGGTGCACATGTAGCATGAAGTTTCTTGCATGGGCAGACATGATGCAGATCTCCTACAGGTAGATGACTAGACCTGCGGCTTGTCTACGCTTAAGCCTAATTTCCTCCCGTGCATGCCTAGATATACCACAGGTCTTGCCCAGGTCCAAAATACTTGGAGAACTGCAGCATATGCAGAAGCTCACAGCGTGCGCATACTGGGACGTCTCGACTGAATGAAGTCTTATAATGACGATGTTGGAGCCGAGCAGCGCAAGGTAAACTTTGGCTGCAAGGCAGACAAGTCTGGAGTCCATGAACCACTAAGTATGCTTTTTTTGTTCTCATACAGGGACAGTTACTAGATGGAAGGAATTTTCATTTTAGATAGGGATGTTAAAGTTCATCTTTAAGAACCTATCCAGTGAAACTTGGACTGAATGGGGTTGATTTACTAATACTGGAGAGTGCACAATCTGGTGCAGCTTTATGGAGATGCGGATTTAATTTTCCAGCAGGACTTGGCAACTGCCCACACTGCCAAAAGTGCCAATACCTGGTTTAATGATCATGGTATCACTGTGCTTGATTGGCCAGCAAACTCATCAGACCTAAACCCCATAGAGAATCTGTAAGGTGTTATCAAGAGGAAGATGAGAGACAGCAGACCCAACAAAGCAGACAGGCTGAAGGCCACTATCAAAGCAATCTGGGCTTCCACAACACCTCAGCAGTGCCAAAGGCTGATCGCCTTCATGCCACGCCGCATTGATGCAGTAATTCATGCAAAAGGAGCCCTGACCAAGTATTGATTGCATACTATACTGTACATGGACAAACTCTTCAGAAAGCCAACATTTCTGTATTAAAAAACTATTGGTCGTATATAATAGTCTAATTTTCTGAGTTACTGAATTTTGGGTTTTCACTAGCTGTAAGACATAATTATTAAAATTGAAGAAAAATGCTTGAAATACATCACTCTGAGACAAATCTATATAATATATGAGTTTCTTTTTGAATTGAATTACTGAAATAAATGAACTAATCAAATGAACTTTCTCTCAACTGCCCCCCACCACATCCCTCTTACAAAGCACCGATAGTTGAATTAAATTTAAGCAAATATGTAGTACATAGTGGTACCCACAACTCCCTGGTTCTTTACCTAGTCGAGGGTGTTGTAAGCTAACCCCAACTGCCTCCTGAGATGTCCATGTCCTGGTGCAGCTGTGCATGGTAGCCAGCTTCTAAGTTCAGCTTGTTCAATTAACGTTTGACAATAAAACCTGGAAGCTGATTGGTTTCTATGCAGAGCTGCACCAGATTTTGCACTCTCCAGTTTTAGTAAATCAACTCCAGAAAGCAAATAACGTGCAGGGGCGGACTGACCATTTGGAAACCCTGGCACTGCCCGAGGTCAGTAGGGGGTCCCATGAGATGCCCCGGGTACCTTTTTCATAGGCTTTTTTGAGTTTGGGCAAGGACACAGGGGCCCTATAATCCCCTATTGTCCGGGGGCCCCATGAGTTGTCAGTCCATCCCTGATAATGTGTGAAGTGGAGGAATACAGCCCAGAACCACAACCCAGGATCCCAGTACTAAAAGAAAAGAGTAACATAGGAATTCAGGTCGTTTGTGCCCTTTTATGAAGCTTACATAATTAGTGTTATGACACATCCAATGGACTAGCATATGCATGCTCCTTCCACCACACTACTGTATTTCCACACTACTAATTTAAATAACACTAAACATCCATAAAAACTGGACAAATGAAACTGTTATAGTTTTTTGTTTAATCATAATTATTTCAAGTATATAAATACAATTTGTATTTTTTACTCTGCGGGACATTCCTGGATATACTTCCTGCCCAGGAAACTAATCTGGCTGTTGCATGAGAGGATGTTGTTTATCTCATTAAGGACAGGGCTGGAGGTTTCTTTTCCTGGCGTTGGCAAGATATGAGAAATAGTGTGCAGTTCACTGGCTGATGTGATGCTCAACCAACATGACAAGAAAATGTGCAGAGTAAGCCATTACAAGAGCCCCTGTCTGGGATCCTCCATAGGACTGCAGTCTGCCGTTCACGGTCAGCCACCATTTCCCCTTCTAGTGCATAGTGAAGAAAGTAGCACATGATTATGACATGGACATGGAGAGGAAGTTACTCTGTCTCCTTGTTGTCTTTCTCCCCTCATACGGTTTCAATTCTTTAGGCCTGACACAGCTTTTCAGCCTGAAGCTCCACATCTGCTGTTCTATCTTCCTGTCCTTCCGTCATACTAGTTACACATTCTATAGATATGGAAGGCTATGAAAACCATGACCTTCTCCAGGACTGGCAATGGGATTGAATTACAGACTGCTGATAAATGGTGTTAGATTTGCAATCAATTGTGAAGAGAAGATGGCCATACATACAATAGTTTTTGTTCAATCAGCCAGTAGGCTGACAAAAAACAAAAATGAACAGATCCCTCCATCCACAGTGGGTGGTGGAATACCCCTGACAGGACACTGTATTCTGACAACGGCACCCAGCACTGTCACAGTGCACAGATAAGTAGCTGCAGCTGAATGATGGGAATTTTTCCAACATGTCCCTTCAGTAGAAGCGGATTATACAATCGGCTCCTGAGAAGTGGATAAACCAATACAATGACTGAAATTCCGTGGGTCCCTGCTGGACTGGCCACATTTCAATCAGTACATGAGAATCCTGAAGTCCCGCTCTGTACTGGCTCTGCCTCTTCCAGCACTGCCATTATGGTGCATGCACAGATGAGCCAAAAAGACTGTCTGGCTTTTAGGTCCTGGCAGAGCCGTTTGGGGCATCTGCACATGCACGGGGGATTTTCCAGAGCATGTGCAGATGTGCTGCAGGGCTCACTTAGGACAGGGAGGTGGCAGGGAGGAAAAAAAAAAAAAAAAAAAAAAAAAAAAAAAAAAAAAAAACAAATTCTCGCCTAGGCTAGAAACACAGAAGTGCTGCTTTGCAGCACAAATACATGGAAATAGTTAAAAAGTAATACCCAATTATAAGAGGGATGTGGAGGAGGCAAGACGACATGACATTTGACATCAACAGATAGTGGGCTTTAGCCCACTGTTGGCTGAAAATGGGTCACAGGCGTACAAAACAAACTGCACTCCTGTGATTCATAGGAGTATAGCCAAAATACTGTTATACTTCTCCTTTAACTAGAAGACCAAAACTGGCCTAACCTTGTTTTGTACATATTTACAAAGATTCCCAGATTCCTCAGCACAGTAAATACACCACTCTATTGATGGCCATGATTGACATATATTTCATTTATTGTTCTCATAAATGCTCTCTTATGGATTGCTCAGTACTATGCCTTAAACCCAGCATACCTGTATCTTTGGCCACTTCAGAAACATCTAGGTTCCTCATTTCAGCCATATATCCCAAGACAGTGAATATGACGAAACCTGACATAAAACTGGTCAAGCAGTTCACAGTGCTTGTCACCAGTGCATCCCTGTGAAGAAAAGAAGATATAAACAAAACTACGTTTGATTGGTAAACGTAATAGGAATCATGTAGAAAAGCTGGCAGAAAGAAGTAACACAAGTGTTAAGTGGTTTTACCAATCAGATTCAATTTGTCACTTTTCTGAAGTGGAATATAAAAATGTAAGAAAGAATATTGATGTGTTGCAACAAGGAACAGCCTTCCTTTCAGCCACACTTTTTTCATAAAGAAGAAGACTTTATGTTGTCAGTAAAGCGGAACTAATCCCATTCATTTAAAGCAGAACTAAACCCTAATTTACAGCTAAGGAAGATGCCTTTAACCACCTCAATAATGGACACTTTCACCTCCTTCCTGCCCAGGCCAATATTCAGCTTTCAGCACTGCCACGCTTTGAATGACAATTACTCAGTCATGTAACACTGTACCCAATGACATATTTCTCATTTTTTCTACACAAATAGAGCTTTCTTTTGGTGATATTTAAACGAACCCCCCCAAAACAAAATAATCTTTGTAAAATTCAGCCAAAATGTATTCTGCTACATTTTTTGGGTAAAAATAACCCAAATCAGTGTATATTATTTAGTCTATTTTGGAACGTAGACATACTAGTAATAGGCATGGTGACATTTTTGAAGCTGTAATTTTTTGTAAAAATATATTGTCACCAGAGCAGTACAGCATCATCATGGAACAGGTGTGGCAGTGCTCAGGGACACTAACTGGTGACCGTATAAAAAAAAAAAAAATTTAAATTTTTTTTTATATTTTCTCTTTTGAATTACAATATTTTTCTTTTTTACATTTTTTGCTTTCGTACTGTGACCAGAGCACTACAGTTTTGCTGTAGTAACACTGTACTACTCTGAGAAAGTGATCAGGATTTATTTTTCTTTTTTACACACTGTGATTGGCTGTTACAGTAGTCACATGTTCAGGAGCTGGTCCCCCTGGTTCACAATAATTACTATGGACCATGAGCTGACTGACAGCTCAGCCTCTGTGCTGGAAGCATATTCTCATCACAGAAACCTCTGCCACCTATGGATGCTTATGTGTGGCATGTGGGTGTTAAAGCCCGCCCCTCTGCCACCACACAAGCGTTACGTGGGCAGCAAAAAGGTTCAATAAGGCAAAGAGCATCAATACAAAAAACAGATATTTTGGCAATTTTATACATGGGTCCCTTTGATTATTGAAGCCTGTGGGCAGATTGTTAAATGGTAAACATTGGTTGGTTGTTAAGGCATACAGCTTTACTATTTGTCCTCTTTAGATAAAAGAGTGTTTACCGAGCAGATCAGGGACCTTTATTTATTGATTTCCAATAATTGTACATTACAGGGTAACAGACATTGCAGTGTAAATGGATCCATTCACATCTGTCCCCCAGTCTGACTTATTCAATTCACTACAACAGTTTCAGGCAGACAGATGAAAACGTACATATGATACTAACTGGTAGCAGTTGTTGTGAAATTTATTGTAGCTAGCAAAGGCCAGCAACACACCGAATCCTGGGCCCAGCGAGAAGAATATCTGTGCAGCTGCATCCACCCAAACCTAAACAGACATATGAAACAAAGGACACTGCATGTATATTGCTTTTTAGATCGGTTAGTTTTATTGTATTTAAACATAAAAAAGTTACAGATACAATGTAGTTAAAGCCAATAGGATACACCAAATGAATTGAACATAAGTCTAGGTTCATATTAATGCTTCTGCAGAATCACTGCATTTTTCAGTGTGTGTTTGTATCATGTTTTGCGCGTTTTACGTGTGTTTTATTGGTTCATGGGGTTTTTTTTTTATAGGAAAGGGAGACTGGCTGTTAAACACAAAACAGTGCCAAAAACACATGTACATGAGTTTCTCATGTGCTCCCATTAAAGTCTATGGGGCCAAAAAATATGCTGTGTTGCACCAAAAGAAGCTCGCGCACCTCTTCAAAATATGCACTGCACCATATTGCATTGACATCAACAGGTACCATAGAGAATAACGTGATTTCCATTGTCATGCATTACAGTGTAACAGCACACGCAGGAGAAATCTCTAATGGGGCATAGATGGCAATAAAAAACCTGACAAAACCCTTACTTTATCCAAATTGGAAAGACAAAGTTTTACCCATAGTTCTGCTTTAACCATCAGGCCATTCCACCTGTTTTTCATTTCAGACTGTAGAGTCATCCATGAACTATGATAAGTCTGGTTGTAGAAAAATAAAAGATGAGTGTGCTCGTGATCTGGATAGGCTTGTTGAGGGGTCTTTAGTGAGGATTACACTGAGGAATAGTGTTAATTATATATAGTTTATCATTTCTATAAAGAGCAGTTCAAAGGCAATAAATGTCTTCCTGGAACCCATATAACAGCATCTATAAAAGCATCAATCCACTGCATGGAGGAGGACTTATGAAAATATCTTCAGGTGTCTATCTCTAGGAATGCTAAAGACAGGCATTTTAAACCCTCCTGGTAGTCCCAATGCAGTGTGCCCTGTTAACTCCAAGCTCAAGGTTCCCCCACATAAAGCACAGAATATGCTGAGAATATTGCTTTATGATTTCAGCCAAATAAGTTATTTTGAGTGAAGGAATATATTTTACTGAATATTTTTGGACATAACAATATAACAAATTAAACAATAATAACATAAATTGAGCAAAATGCAATAAGCCAAAGTGGGCTTCATTCACTAAAAGCAGATTGCGTGCAGTATTTAGGTGTATTTTTCCAAAATTTTGCTTGAGAAAATGTCAATTCACTATCCTTTTATGCTATGGTATGCTTGGTAAATAGCACATAAAACAGCATTAAAGTCAATTCACTAAAGGAAATCAATAAATGCATGCGGTAAACAAGTAGTGGTCCAGACATGCGATAGTTAAAGCATATGTTTGATTTTAGCTGGTTGTTAAGGAGTGGGCAGCCCACGCATCCTTAACCACTGACAGCAAAAAGTAAACAAAAGAATTGCCGGCATTCATTTTTTTTCTTTTAAATTGCAAGAACTGGTCTGATATGGATTTTGAGGGGAACCCCCCCCCCCCACCAAATTTTTTTTTTAAAATGGCGTGGGGGGTCCCCCCGAATCTATACAAGACCCTTATCCGAGCATGCAGCCTGGGGGGAAAGGGGGAAGATTGAGTGAACACCCCCCTCCTGAACCATACTGGGCCACATGCCCACAACATGGGGGGGTGCTTTTGGTGAGAGGGGACTTCCCCCCCAAAGCACCCTGTCCCCATGTTGATGAGGACAAATGCTCCTTCACCGCAACTCTGGCCCATTGGTTGTGGGGTTTTTTTTGGGGGTGACTTATCGGAATCTGGAAGTCCACAGATCCCCCCCCCCCCCCCCATGTGAATGCTCATTCACCAAAAAAAATTTCAAAAAAGGAAATAAAAACAGACAGTTTTTGACAAGTCCTTTATCCAGAAAGCCCAAAAAAACCTCAAAGTAGATCCAATGTCAATCATGATGAACGCTGGCTGCCGACCCGAACAAAAAAAACAAACAAACCTGACCTGCACTGACACTTGACTCCTGCCGAATGACAGCTCTGCCACCTGCCACTGTTAAATAAACTAAGGGTTTGGACCACCCAATGACATCACCGGTTGGCCCCACTCCCTTATGACATCAACCCAGCATGCCCCAGTCGATGGCATAAGGAGGCAGGGGTCATCCTGAGACATCATCCAGTGGCCCCGCTTCTTCGTTCATGTAGCGGTGGAGCTGTCATTCAGCAGGAGTCTAGCATCGGTGCTGATCAGGTTTTTTTCCCCCCCATTCGGGTTTGCGGCCAGCGTTCATCATGATTGGCAATGGATCTACCTTGGGGACATTTTTTGGAGGGGGTTTGAATAAAGGACGTGTCAAAAATTGGCTGTGTGTTTTTATTTACATTCTGACTATTTTAGGTAAATAAGCAGGGGTACCATGCTCACTTACATAAGGGTGGGGCCCTGGTCTGGGGGCCCCCTTGTTAAAGGGAGCATTCAGATGCCAAGTCAACCCCTGCACCCCCAAAACCACTGGACCAGGGTTGTGGGAAGAGGCCCTTATATTCATCGACATGGGGAAGAGGTGCTTGGGGGGGGGGGGGGGGGGAAGGGAGTCCCCTCATGTTGAGAGCATGTGGCCTGGCATGGTTCAGGAAGAGAGGGGGGGCTCCCACTCGTTCCTCCTTTTCTGGACTGCTGGGCTCCATGCTCGGATAAGATTCTGTTATGGATTTTAGGAGGAACCCCCATGACTTTTAAAAAAAAAAAAAAAAATTTGGTGTGGGGATCCCCTCAAAATCCATACAGACCCAACTAAAAAATACCACATCACTTCATAAAATAGCTCATGCTGTATTTTAGTATCTTTTTTTAGCGATTTGCAAATATTTTTTTGAAAAAGGAGGTATTTTAAAGTGGTAGCTACCACTTTGTGAATTGAGCCCAGTAATCTGACTTCTCTGACTTCAGTAAACCAACATCTTACTTGTTACTATGGGGTATTGCAATCTAATTTTGAGGGGCATTAACTGTTTAATAATTTTATTTCTGATGAGAAAAAACTAAAATGTATTCAGTTTGTACTTTAAACCGAAGGTCAATGTATACAGAGATGTATTTTCTTTCAACTATAACAGCTTAGGATTCCAATGAAATACTGCCCCCTGTGGCCAAATTGTCTAACTGCTGGCTTGCCAAGAGCAGAACAGGTCCCTAATTAGCTGTATTGAAATGTATATACATGAATTGTGTTCATGCAAGATGAAACAGGCCTGATCAAATTCCTCTTTGGGCTCACAAAAGGTCTTGAATTATTATTATTCGAATAAGTTTAAATGGCATGCTGTCATTTTTCTTATATGATGTGGAGGTGCTATCCCCATTTGTAACACACAAATAATTCCTGTCTGTGTCAGAGGAAGAAGTGCTTGTCTGAAATACAGAGTGTGCTCAGTCTGCAGAAAGCTTGTCTCATAACAGTTAAAACATTGCCAAGAGGCAGCTGCATGACAGTACTCACTCAAGGCCACTTTTCAATGACATGCCCCCAAAGACCACTTCTCCTGCATTGCCCCTTGGTGTGGTCTGACAGTTCCATGCACTAGTTTATAATCCAAGACTTCAATGTATTATGTATATAGTAGTCTCACCTCAGTAGTAAGCAGCTTCTCCCATGTGGGCGTCAGGTAGAAGAGAACTCCCCTCCAGGCACCTGGCAGTGTGGCCCCTCGGATTAGAAGCAGTGTAAGTACAATGTATGGAAATGTTGCAGTAACCCAGACCACCTACAAAGAAGGCATATACATTCATACATATATAATGTGAACCCTTCCTTTGTTATAATTAGTAGCCAACATTTAGGCAATCGCGTAGCCCACATTCCACACCACATTCACATACTTCAAAATAGGGAATAGAGTTGGTATTTGATGGGTCAGTTGTAATTTCAAGAAAAAAAAAAAAACAAAAAAAAAAAAAAAAAAAAAAAAAAAAAAAAAAAACTTACATTAAAATGAATGATGAACTTCTGTTATTTGCTCCAGTATGGTCTGCTAAATGTGCAATTGAAAGTGTTTTGTAATATCTAACCCATATGTGCCAAAACGTACCCATTGGTTCTGCCAGAAATCTTGTGAGCTGAAAACTCTGTGCACAGGGAGGAATTATGGAGTTCATGTAGATGGTGGAGGAGTGGGAAAGGGCTGTATTATTTGTAATCCAAGAGAAATGAAGTAGGCAGGGCTGACACCATGTGCTAAGACACAGTATTGTCAGTTTGAACAATAGGGTTGGAGCAAACTATCTTTGTGGCACATCAGCAATTATTTATTTAAAGTGTTACTAAACCCACAACAGTAAAATCAGTCTGTATGTGCAGTAAAGCATGCTATTTATACTCACCATGGAACCTAAGAGGTTAATCCTCTGCATTGTGTAAAAAGGCTGTTAGATCCTGTCTTCTCTGATCACCCCCTTTTACTGTCCCCAATCCATCTGCTGATAGTACACAGCAGCAGTGGCATGTCTGCACATGCTCAGTTTGGTGTGCATTGCCAGAGAGTTTTTTTTTTTTGTTTGGGAAGGTGCCAGTGATACACACAGGGCCAATCAGCACTGTCCAGAATGTCAGGGGTTATGCAGCCTCATAGGACAGTCAGAGGAGAAAAAACTCCAAGATTAACCACTGCTCACCCAGACATTGATAGAAGTCACAAGACTACTATATACCGCTGATCAGAAAAAGGTATTTAGCAGTTTATATTTACTAAAATAATTGCACTTCCCTGTTCTTTGTACTGTGGGAGACCAGATATAGTGAATGAAGGGTCCTGGGTTTAGTAACACTTTAAATGGACATCAGATCATCCCCCGCAGCTATCACCTTTTGTATCACCTCCTCTTCATATAGATTGTAAACTCCATGAGCAGGACCCTCCTATTCCTTCTGTATTGAACTGTACTAGTACTTTTCCCCCCTTATTGTAAAGCACTGCGCAAACTGTTGGCACTATATAAATCCTGCATTATAATAGTAATAATAATAATAATAATAATAATGATGCATCCTTTGTTGTGGCCTTTTTGGGGAGGAAAAGAGACACAAAGTTTAGTGAAAAGAGCTGAAATGAGATTCAGTCCACGTCCACTAAATGTCTATGCAAAACTGATTTATATTTGTTGGCTGGAGTTGGTATTTGTGTAAACCTAGTCAGATCCCATAAACTTTGAAATGGAGATATACTCTCTAGTCAGACATGATAGCATGTCTACCGGTGTTCAGGGTCATGGTGCAATGTAATTTTTTTTAATGCAATGCTGGGCATGGCCAATCTTAGTAATTATAAGCAAAGTCCAGAAAAAAATAAATGTCATGAGCTACCATTACCATGCAACTTTTTGCTGCATGGCCAAAAAGGTAAAGTTACCAAAACCTGATTGTCTTCTGCAGATTACTCTTTAAAAAAAGGATGAATGCAAAAAACATTCTACAATCTTTTTATTCAATACATTTTCATTAATTTTCAAATTTGAGCAGATCGTACCATTATGAAAAAAACAAACATAAGGAATGTGTGTAGAAAGGCCATTTTTTGCTAAAAGAAATGATACATTAAAACTCTACAAGCTGTTTTAAGTGTCACATGTGACTAAATTGTATATTGAAATAGAGATACCAGGCAATAACGGAGCAAAAATTAGCTAATGGAAAAGGATTTGTTGAAGGGAGGGGAGGGAAGGATAGGATAGGAATGGAAGGAAGGGAGGGGAGGAAGGAAGGGAAGGAAGGAAGGGAAGGAAGGAAGGAGGGGAGGAAGGAAGGGAGGGGAGGAAGGAAGGAAGGGATAGGAAGGAGGAAGGAAGGAAGGAAGGGGAGGAAGGAAGGTAGGGGAGGAAGGAAGGGGAGGAAGGAAGGAAGGAAGGGGGGGAGGAAGGGGAGGGAGGGGAAGGAAGGAAGGAAGGGAGGAAGGAGAGGGGGGGAGGAAGGAGAGGGAGGGGAGGAAGGAGAGGGAGGGAGGAAGGGGGAGGGGGGAGGAAGGAAGGGGAGGAGGAGGAGGGAAGGGGAGGGAGGGGAGGAAGGAGAGGGAGAGGAGGAAGGGAAGGGAGGAAGGAGAGGGAGGGGAGGAGGAGAGGGAGGGGGAAGGAGGAGGGAAGGAAGGAGAGGGAGGGGAGGAAGGAGGAAGGGGAGGAAGGAAGGGAGGAAGAGGAAGGAAGGAAGGAGGGAAGGAAGGAAGGGGAGGAGGGGCAGGAAGGAAGGGGGGGAAGGAAGGAGGGGGAAGGGAGGGAGGGGAAGGAAAGGAAGGGAGGGAAGGGAAGGAAGGAAGGGAGGGAAGGGAGGGGGGGGAGGAAGGAAGGGAGGGGGGGGGTAGGAAGGGAGGGAGGGGAGGGGAGGAAGGAAGGGGGGAGGAGGAAGGAAGGGAGGGGGGAGATGGTAGGGGGGGGAGGAAGGGAAGAGGAGGGGGAGGGGGGGGAGGAAGGAAGGGAGGGAGGGAGGGGAGGAAGGACAGGGAGAAGGAGGGGAGGAAGGAATGGAAGGAGGGAGGGAGGAAGGAAGGAAGGAAGGGAGGGAGGGGAAGGGGGGAGGAAGGAAGAAGGAAGGGAAGGAAGGAGGGGAGGAGGAAGGAAGGGGAGGGAGGAAGGAAGGAAGAAGGAAGGGAGGGAGGAAGGAAGGGAAGGAAGGGAGGGAGGATGGAAGGAAGGAAGGGAGGGGAGGAAGGAAGGTAGGAAGTGAAGGGGAGGAAGGAAGGAAGAAGGAAGGAAGGAAGGAAGGGAGAGGAGATGAAGGAAGGAAGGAAGGGGAGGGAGGAAGGAAGGAAGGGGAGGGGAGAAGGAAGGAAAGGGGGGAGGAGGAAGGAAGGAAGAAGGGAGGGAGGAAGAAGGAAGGAAGGAAGGAAGGGAGGGAGGAAGGGAGGGGAAGGAAGGAAGGGAGGGAGGGATCTGGTAGGAAGGAAGGGGAGGAAGAAGGGAGGGAGGGAGGAAGGAAGGGAGGGGAGGGAAGAAGGAAGGGAGGAAGGGTGGGAAGGAAGGGAGGGGAGGAAGAGGAAGGGAAGGGAGGGGAGGGGAGGAAGGAAGGGAGGGGAGGAAGGAAGGAAGGAAAGGGAGGGGAGGAAGGAAGGAAGGGGGGGGAGGAAGGAGGAAGGGAAGGGGAGGGAGGAAGGAAGGAAGGGAGGAAGAAGGAGGAAGGAAGGGGAAAGGAAGGGGGAGGGGACACCCCCCCACACACACACAGGAACGGAGCTGTGGCTGTCAATTTTGCTGGAAGATCCCTCCCCGTCACCATTTTTCTCTTGGTGTCAAGAAAAATTTGGCAGAAGTGATTTCATGCTGATAACAGAAGAACAAACAGCGGACAGAAATTACACTTCGTGTTCTTAATTGAGACAAGTACACACTATAGAGGGATACGTTTTGTTCATATTTCATGTCTGAGGTTTATAACCACTTTAAGAGGAATATGAAAAATTGCCAGTGATTTGTATGAATTCAATAGAAAGAGTCTGCAAGGGCAAGTAGGTAATATTTGTAAAATTCCAGTGTCACCAATATTCAACCAGTAGTAGAATATAACGTATATGTTCATATCGTAAGTAAGATCCCAGATTGTTGAACTAACCTTTCCAGATGTCTTGACTCCCTTCCATATGCTGAAATAAACCACAGTGAAGATAAGAAGAAGACAGAGCGAGAGCTGCCAGCTGATCCCTCCTAGCTCCTGTAGACCTTTTGACTTATGTATCTGAAGCACCAGCCGGCTGAAAAACAGAATTAAGCCATAAATCCTGAAAGCCATTCACCCTGGACAATGTGCCAAGGCAGCAAGTCATAATTATACATAATAAAAGGCAACATTGCTTCAAAACAGAAGGTGGAGTGCAAAGATCTTGATGGTGGCACCTTAAGAAAAGTGACTAGCAGCTCAGCAGTTAAAAGCCAGAAAAAAGCAGAAGCAACAATTATAAGACATAACAGGTCTTTAGTTGCCCAAAGTGAGCCTTATCTTTGCACAGGTTAATATATGCAACTTCCACAGACTTAGCACTCAATTTAGTAGTTTCACCATGTGTTACAATGCTGGTGTTTCCATGGTTTGAAGTATACAACTCTGCATATGTTCCTTTAAATAGAACTGAAGGAAAAACTTATTTTTCACTTTGCATAGAGAAATGGAGGATTAAAAATTCTGACAGTTTATGGGGAAATTTCCCTTTACATTTTGTCCCATAACAAAACTGGAAATGATAGCAAATCTCTGCAAAGAGAATCTTTGGGTGTCACCAGGATTACCAGAACTAGTGTTTTCATTGGAAGATTTCCCCCTCTCTCTGTTTTGGAGTTCTGAATAATAATGTTTCATCAAATAAAATAGACCATAATTTGAAATTGGACTTTATGTTGAGCAAATAAATATCTTATTTTTATAAACGGAACAGCCTGGAGATTTCTATAATTTCTGCATTTGAGACTGAAAAGTAAGGGGGTGGTTGAGATTTTCCCCTTACATTGTGGCCATCTGAGACCTTGATGCTGGACCTTCTTTACCACCGAAGAAACCCTACCCTTGATTGCAGAGGCATGCAGTTGTATGTGAGTACAATGCAAAATGCTATGTTTACCATTAATCCAGGGCTGACTGCAAAAAGTGTGTAGTACAGTAACTTCTACTGTTAATGCTGTATCAGTGTGGGGTTCCTAGTAGAGGAGGCATGGACTGCTCAAGCTGGCTTGGCAGGGCTACATCCGGTTGCCTAAATTGACTTGACATGACATATTGAAACCTCTTTAGGGTGAAAAAATTGTTTTGTAAAATCTAATTGGCTTCAGTCAATTTTAACAAACATATTTGAACTGTTTACATACAATCTAACTATTATTACCTATATTCAGGGCTGTGGATAAGGGGGGGTACCACCAGTCCTCCTGTATGGGTCCCAGGCAGCAGGGTGAATCCGATGTAGGCAGGTTGATTAGCATGGCAGGGGGACAATTAGTGGAATCGATCCCCTGTATGGCTCTTTCTGCAGCAGCTGAAAGCTGGCTTCTTCTTTCTTCCTGCTGGCTTTCAGCTGCTGCAGAGAGTCATACAGGGGATTGATTCCAGTAGTTGCCCTCTGGTGCACCCATCACCCTCCCTGTGCACCACAATTTTCCCATTGCTGCCCACGCCACCCTGTTGCCGGTAGTGCTGCCAGCGTTTCTCCTCTCCTTTTCACAAACAGCTGGAAATACAAAATAGGATCCTTCAGGATGGAGAGTGGGGGGGGGGGGGGGGGGGGGGGGAAGAGTCCAGTACATTCACCAGCCCCTTTCTTTCCTGAATGAACACAATGATTGATCAGCACCAGTCACTCACTGTGTTCATTCATAACTGAAGCCTAGCAAACTGTTTTTAGGGAGGAGGGGAGCCTGTCAGGTTGGCTGTATGGGGCCCCGTGGTTCCTAACAGAAACTCTGCCTATATTATGCCTTCATTGTAAAAATAAATATTTAGTACAGTGTGCTTCAATGACAAATGCTACTCTGGTTAAAAAAACACATTCTAGACAACGCAGAGGTAACTTTACTTTTGTACTGCCTCTCTAATGCTCCATACAGGGCCTAAGGAATGAAAGACAGGGTGGGGGTATCTTCAGAATGCAACTGAACACCTGGGGATTACATTTACAGCACTGACTTACAAAACTGACAGTAGGAATACTTTAGAGTCCCAATTGCTGGCTGCATATGATAAATATGAAATATGAGAAAATAATGATAACATATATACTGAAGATGTAAAATATGCATTGATATTAAAAGGCTAGTGTTAACTTCCAAAAGGAACAAAGCAGATAATCCTGGAAGAGATGGTAAATGGATCCAGCCAGCTATGTATCATTGTACAAATATTGTACCATTGGGGTACATTAAAGAAATAAAAACATACAAGCACAAAATAAAATTATAAATGCAATGAACAATACATTTAGTTAAGAAATACTTGCAATGTCCCCATTTTGACTTGATCCCACCTATACATTTCAAGCATTCCAACAACAAAAATTAGATGTCATGGTCAGTTATAATACAGCTAATTATAAAAATCATTTGTGTCATAATAATTGTCATGACCAAGAATGTGTGTTATAATGCAGTAATGTATTTGAAGTCAAGGACGTATAGGAAGGTGCTAAAAATTTGGTAAAAGTTGTCATATTTCATTATACTATTGTTCACTCTGTTGTTGAATAAATGTATTGTCCTATGATATCATCCTCTACAGGGTGAGAAAAGACTCAACCAATTCCCTTCAATGAAATAACAGAATAGTAAGTTGCCTGCATGTAGAAAGACAACCTTGACTGGGGGGGGGGGGGGGGTGTTCAACTGGGGGAATTAATGCTGGAAAGAGATCTGGGAGTTCTGGTAGATCACAAGCTTAATAATGGCATGCAATGCCAAGCTGCAGTTTCTAAAGCGAGCAAAATCCTCTCTTGTATTAAAGGAGATATAGACTCCAGAGAGAGATATCATATTACCCCAGGACAGATCATTAGTAACACCTCATCTGGAACATGCAGTTCAATTTTGGGCACCAATTCACAAAAACAACATTGGGGAACCGGAGAAAGTGCACAGAAGGGCAACCAAACTGATAAGAGGCATGGAGGAGATCAGCTATGAGGAAAGATTAGAGGAACTGAATTTATTCTCTTGAGAAGAGGAGATTAAGGGGGGATATGATCAACATGTATAAATACATCCTTGGTTCATATAGTGAACTCTGTGTGTAGAGTTATTCACCCTGAGGTCATCACAGATGACAAGGGGGCATGCTTTACGTCTGGAGGAAAAGAGATTTAATCTCTAAATATAGAAAGGTTTCTTCACAGTAAGAGCTGTGAAAATGTGGAATAGACTCCCTCAAGAGTTGGTTCTGGCCAGCTCAGTGGGTTGCTTTTAAAAGGCCTGGATTCTTCCTTGGATACACAGAATATAACTGGTTACTAATATTTATAGGTAAAGTTGATCCATGGAATATCAGGATTGCCTTTGGGGGATCAGGAAGGATTTTTTTTCCACTGCAGAAGCAAATTGGATCATGCTTTGCTGGTTTTTTTGCCTTCATCTGGATCAACTATGGATGTAGGATTATAACTTTTTTTTGATAGTTGAACGGGATGGACTTTTGTTTTTTTTCAGCCAAACTATGTAACCTTAACTATCCTGTATTTAAATGAGTTACCAATAGAACAGAAAAAAATAGGAGCAAAAAATATTAATCTGAAATATTTATGCTTTTCTTATATTTACTGTTTTGCTGTTTGAAAAACAGTATTCATGTCAAAAGTTGAATCTTAAATGTCTCTCGATTTACAATCGCTGAAGCAGTCTAGGAAAAGCTATGTTTCCTCCACTTATTCTACTGATCAGCAAAAATGAAGAGCCCAGATCTTGTTAGATTAATACTGCTTCAGGGTCCCCACGTTAATCATATCTTGTTACTTCTGATTGAAATGCTTGTTTATGTCTACAAAGGAGCATCATGAAATCCATCTACCCTAAGAGTGTGTTACCCTCCACCACACTTACATGCACTTACGTGTAAAACTCCTCTGCTGGTGAGATAGAGCTATTGATCCACGTTACACTGCTGTTGTGGAAATAATTGGTGCAGTTGTCTGTGTTCCACTCGTTGCGGCAGCTGGTCCAAGGCAGCTCAGATCGGAATGAAAATATGAGGTAGTAGAGAGCCCAGGCCATAATGGTGTTGTAATAAGATGCTACATAAAGTGCTATTATACAGATAGCGTAACCAATTCCTAAGGAAAAAAAGATCATTATCAAATCAACACAATAGCAATAGTCAAGAACATTAAAACACTCTCAATATCATTTCTAGTTCATCTGCTACTTTAATGACTGATGAGCTCTTAGAGGTCCTTACATACAGTATGTCTGTGAAGGCTTAGTCATCCGCATCATGGTATACTTGATAGTCATCCACATCATGGTATAGTCATTAGTGGTTAGTTAGTCACATTCAGTCGGACTTTTTCTGTAATGCTGAAGGCTCTTCACAGCTTGCCCAAGGAAATTCAGTTCTAGAGTTCTATAAACTCCATTTGAATGTAACTAACCATGGTACACTAAATGTTTTGAGCAGTGTGTCAAAACTGTACGCAGTTTGGGAATATGTTACATAGGGATGAGCTATGGTTCAGCCTGAACCCTGGGAAACAGTCACATGATGGCTTGCTGCCAGCCCTATCAGCCAAAACTGTGGAATTCTTGGCCCACAGCTGCACCTAACAAAGGGGTGTGGATGCTGGTGACAACATTGACCTAATATGGCCACATGGCCATATTTGAACAATGTCATTGACTAAATATGGCCATATTTTTGATACACAAGAAAAGATTCCAAGAGCATTCTGGGCTTTCTAAAGAGAGGGCACAACAGTAGTTGTCTCATTTCAGGCATTATGTCTATAAAAAAAAAAAAAAAATGCACAGCATTTAGAGGGAGAAGGGGAAGGGAAGGAGTCACTATTAATTTAGTTTCTTGTGTGTGGAATTTTCAGCTCCAGCTCTCTGAGCAACAAGAATATTTACCCAGAGGAATGAAGAAACTGGAAAAAATGTAAAAAAGTGCTTAGAGTTCCACCAGCTGGAAAAAAATTTAATAACGTAAATAACGTAAAGCTGGAACAAAAAAAAATAACGTAAAAAAGGGAATGTGTATAGCATATTTATGTTCGTAATGATAATATTACAGTATTATGTATTAGAATGTAGTGATTATAATATTACAGATTAAGTTTACTCTGCTAATATTTTGTCTTCACTGTTTCCTCCTTTCCCCCAATCGCCATGGGTATTTATTGAATAAAACATTTCTGTTCTCTTTACAAACTGTCTTTTTAGTCCCAGTAACATCACCAGGCCTTTATGCTTCTCTATGCAATGCAGCCAAATCAAGCTGGATGTCCTCCAGTGAGGAAATGAAGCGGGCTCTATTTCGCTTCTAATGCACACTGTGAAAAGCTTACTGTGTTTAGAGAAATCAGTGTAGGCAGTAGGACAGGAGCCTGCAGAAAACTGTTCATGGTTTATTCATAAGGCTAGAGTTCAACTTTTGCAATTTACCTTTGTGCACCTTCCACACAAAGAAGGTATAATACTGGACTAAGTGAGCACAATTTCTAACAGTTTTTCATTAAAGCCTCAAACCTGTCCATTTGTGCATCAATATCAATTGCTGCTCTTCCACTACGAAAATGCAACTGTAGGACCACTAAAACACTTAGAGCTCAAAATCTCTGTGCAATTCGGCTCCAACCTTGGCTGTTCATTACTTTTAACTGGTTTCTGAGCTGAATAAGGCCTCGTTCACATGGAAAAAACAAGTAGATTTCACTTGAAGAGACAAGTTTACATCAGTTTTCATGCATATTTCAGAGAGTTTCAGTTGCAGATTTGTGCACAGAAAAAATGTGCACTTAAGTAGTGCTGTGGTGTGAATAGGGCACAGAGCACAATTGCTTTCTTTGTGCCTTTGCAGAATGCAAGCAGGAACCTCATGTCTCTACACATGGTGTGAATGATGCTTAAGCCCTGGTTCCTACCGGTGCAACATTTGATTTACAAATCACACGTGAAGTTGCATTTAATTTATTTCTATGGCACGGACTTAATCAGTAAGATATGAAGTACCGCAACTTCAAAAAAAGTTCCTGCACTATTTTTGGTGATTTCATGTATGACTTGCACTGATATATGTGCATGAAGTTCACAGATGTCAGGCAAGCCGCCCATGAAATTGCACTTAACGGCGGCTTTGAAATTGTGCTACTTCAAGAAAAGTAGAGCAATTTCAAAGCGGCATCCAGTGTGAACCAGGGCTAAATGGCAAATGATTTGATTATTGAAGTAGCAGTGAACAGTTATAGGTCAAGGCGGTTTGAATTTTTCTTTTACCTTCCTTTACATTACAATTCATATATAACTCTGCTAAGCCTTCAACACCTCCTGTAGAAAATCTGCCTTTTCTAGAGTAAGGTTTGATCTTGAGGTAGGTATTTACTGGGCACAACCTAGAGGGCAAAGGATGTAGGACTTTGAAATGTTATGTCACTCTTCTGCTAGTTGGTCTATTAGACCTATTAGAGGAAGATCAACCTATACCTCCATACAAATGTACAAAGAAGAGTCTCCATAAGAATATAATGAGACACCACTCAAGCTGGGAAAAGCTAAAAAGCTAAGCTAGCCTCCCAGGACTGTGGTTAAGTGTCAGGGTGCCAGACACTTGTAAAGCCCAAGAGGGGAATTGGAGGATGTTTCAAAATGCCAAAAACAGCCTTTTAATATCTGTAATTTTATTTTAATCATTTTATGCTTTTCAGTGTTTGGTTTTGTTTTTGGATTTCTTACATTTTAGAAATAAAATCAGCATGTGATTTTTTTTTTTTTTTTAATATGTAAGACCTAGTACACACGATGAGAAAACTGGAATAAAATGCATTTGGAGGGATCGACCGATAATCTGCTTTTTGAGAGCAGATCACGTCAGTTCATGCGAAAATATCCGAAGGGACAAAAACAATAATCTTTCTAAAATAACAGAACAAAACGATTTTCATTTAATCAGTTCAGTATTCGTTTTGTAAAAAAATTGAGTGGCCAAGTCTCTGCATGATCGGAAACATGAAAATAACCCAGAAGGAAAAATGGCAATGAAAACAATCTTCGTATACAAAGAAAATGCTCCTAAACATGAAACAAAAATTTTGTTTTCAGGATAGAAATAAGTATAATAGCAGTAATAGAGTGATAATCTTATTGCTACAATTTGGTAACTATCTGCAGAGGGGTCACACGGCCATGATATCGCTTCCGATTACATGCTGTTATGTTGCTATGCACATGGAAAGTTGAAACGGATCGTATAAGATTTTTGATACGCTTAGTTGCACTCTCGTATTCAATATGAGAGTAGTATGCAAAAAAAAAACACAATCATTTGTTCCGATTTTCTCATCGTGTGTACTAGCCTTAACTGGTGCTCAATCTGCTCAGAGATTTCTGTCTTCTTTTTGGAAGTTTTATGTAAATCTCTACCATTCTTCAAAACTCTAGCTTGTCCAGCCCCATTCCAGTTCTTGAATCAACATATTGGCCTTTATTCAGAGGGAAGATCCCAATGACTAATAAAGTAGCTCAGAAGGTGGGAAACCTTGTAGCCAAATTTACCATGTTGTAGTTAGCTAGTATAGAAAATATCAAGAATTGCATATAATTTCAGTTTCCTATCTCTGCATCTATATAAAGGTCATCCTAAAAGTAGCCTTTAATTTAGTAACTTTAATTTCCATTTTCAGCTGTTGATTGATGAACTGCCCATTATATTTTTACTTCCATAACAAAAAGACTTACCCTTAAATAATGGACATATTTTTCTCCATACAGAAATACAGCCATTTCTGTGATACTGACCCAGAGCCAGCTCCATATAAAACAGAGGAATTCCACCAAACACAGCCATAATCACATAAGGAATGAGAAAAGCTCCTGAAATGACAAAGTTGCAGAGGAAATTAACTTCAGCTCAGTCTTTCACCTCTAAACCAAGTAAATGTTTGAACAGTTTTCCATTTTTTACTTTATTGAGAAGTAAGTCATTTAGTCTAACAAAAACCTAAAGCGTTCTTTCAGACATTAAGTTAACATACGGCTCACCATTTCAGGGGGTGGTATAGCAGCATCTGACAGGGGTCAGGAGGCGTTACTGCTGCCTCAGCTATCCACGTGAAAGAGCCCTTGTTGAGATTTCAAAACCTATCCCAGTGCCTATGTGCCCTTTGTTCCTGGTGCCCAACCTGCAGCCCATAGCATCTATTTTCTAGCCATGGGGGAACCCTGCTGACAGTAATCTGTTTTTTTGGTGATCTCAAGTCCGTGAAAGAAAATGCGGGTTAAGCAGTTTTTTTTTTTTTCCCTTTCAAACGCGGTTTCTTTTTTTCTGTGTTGTCCATCCCAGTTTGTGTGTGGCATTTTTCCTCTGATAATGCATTATAATGAAAAATATCAATGTGGTACAAGTGATTTTTTAGGGTGACTGCAGGAGTAAAATGTGAAAATATTGATTTGTAATAGGGAATATAACAGCTTTTATGTCTAGCAGTCTTATGTAGTCTATTTCTATTCTATGACTGTATCTTACAGCATGTCCCCAGTCTCCCAACAACTCTTATTGCAGGTTTGCTGCCTTAGACCGTCTTCTGCAGCATGTCTGAAGTCTGTTCTCATCTCGTGTAGTATGTTAATATTCTCTGACCATCTCCGGTTGCATATCTGCAGTTTTTAACAGTTTTCTGTAGGTTTGGTGTAGTGCCCTACCAGTTAGTATAGGTTGCTAGGTAAATATTAGTTTATCTCCTCTAATCAGTGGAGCAGGGATTGATTGTTCTAGCCTGCTCAGTGTAATCAGTGGAGCAGGGATTGCTTTCCTAGCCTGCTCGGTGTAATCAGTGGAGCCGGGATTTGATTATTCTCACCTGCTCAGTGCTTCACAGGCTGCTGGTCTGATTGCTTCCCCTGCATTCTAGAGTAGTCTAAGATTACAGTGGGACAACGAATGGGACAGCAGGTTGAATATTTTTGGGGACCCAGCCCATCCCTGGAATGGTGTGTCCAGTAAGTGGCTGGGGAGCTCATAAATAATCTGAAGCCTGGCACAGTGGGAGTTAGATCCTTGGTTCAGCAATGCCAGAGGAGTCCCCTGTTATAGGAGCTCTGCCCCTCTAGGCAGTCTACTGGGGAAGCCGCTTGGAAGTCATTGAAGTCCCAGCCATAGTCTAAGCTGGGGGGCCTATTCTCTAAAAGTCTGACATTGTTTTACAGTCTGGAGAAGCTCACAGGAAGATATCTGGTGGAGACTGGAGGGAAAATTGTCCAGTGGTCTTGTGGTATAGTGAGTCTTTGTCTCACTTACCAAGTACCCAGTGGATATCGGAAGGAGGCAACTGATGATCCTGTGACATTATGAGAAAATGAGAGCTGGGCCTTAGTGACTAACTTAGTTCCTGGAAAGAAGACATTGTCACCTGTTAGCAGCAAAGTCCTCAAAGAGTTCACTTCTGCTGTTTGGGTATCCCACGCTCCCTTCAAAAGTTCAACTTTTCAATCAAGCATCAAAAAGACACCACTAGACTATAATATTTGAGCCAGTGAAACGTGAGATAATGCTGTGTGCTTGGCTGTGTGCGCACTAATCTGGGTGAAAAAACATCAGTTTCACCAACTCCTTAGAGGGTGCACTAATTTACAGTCACTGGAAATTACTGTATGTGCAGCTCTTTGGTGATGTCAGTAGCTGCACTTAAAGTTGATGGCAAGTTGATCACCACTGCTGAAAGTTGACACTGGCATTAATTTCATTGTAATATTTTTGTTACATTTAGTGTTTTGCACCTATTTTACTACAGTTACATCACTTTTTTTCCCTAACAAATAGACATTTAATACATAACAAATTACCAAAGCACGATGGGTTAACAATAATATAGCACATTAAACAGAGACAAGTGCTGCACTAATCCAAATGGACTAAAAGTGCAGAAACACTTTGTGGATAATAATATAATTATTCACATACAAGTGTGAACAATAAGTGAAATAAATAATGTCAGTCAAATCAAAACAATCAATGTATTAATCCCAAAAAGTCCTTCTATATTGTAATGTGAGAACAAGGACAGGTCTCTTCATTTGTGCTCATTCCACAAATTCCACTCTACCACTGTGTCATACATGGAGGCTTACCAGAAAAGCATGACCCCTTTTACATAGAGTGGTCATATTGCGCATAATGGTTATGAATGCCATGGATCAAATGATGTTATGTGAATCCACCACTCTTCTTTAGGGGCCACCTCCAAGCATCAAATATAAAAGAAAAGTACCAAGTGCTCCCGATGGTGTGAATCTGGTATTTAGATAAAACACTTAAATGTATTAGAAAATACAGGAACTGTATGTAAACAGCTCCTGAATCGATCTGTGCATGTTGCATGCGTGGTGATGTCACAATGTCTTGCTCTGCCCATGCAGAAGTGCACAATTCGAGTACCAAGTGTGAGAAATAGAGCCCTTTTCACACTAAGATGTTACCACCTGCATCTGCCATCCTAGAACGCTGCACCAGCAAACAGGTCCTCTGAGGAAAAAAACATGTACCCATATGGTGTCTACAAAATATTTTCATTTTCAGACAGCTAGAAATAATAAATAACTAGATTATATTTGCTGTACACACCATGCTCCTTAAACTGGCCATACATGGATCTAAATGCAGCTGAATGGAAAAAATTGAGCCATGTATGGGCAGCTTTAGTGCCTTTGTGATTGCAAAGCATTGTAGGTAGAGATCTGCAAAATCTTTCAAAACTTGATCTGCAATGGGCAGCCAGCAGATTTTTTGTACTTTTTATTCGTTTTTTGGAGTATTGCATTTACAAGGTTCTTTTTTATGCATTTAATGTAATCTACTGAAAAATAAAGTACAGGTAATTCCATCTGAATGAGGTCAGTCCACGACTACAGTCATATAAACAGGACATTATAGAGGTGATTCAAGAAGGTAACCAAAAAAAAGGCAACCTCTCAGACTACCAGTGCTTGATTGGTAGAAATACTGCCATGGAATGGGGGTCATTGAGAAAAATGTTTGTACTGGTCATATGCCATGATCTTCAGATGGTGAAATGTTACACAATGTTTCACAGGACCACAAAACCACAAGACAGAGAGAACCAGAGATGTGGTGTCTGCATTATTGTCCTTTTTCTAGGGGTTTTAATTTTTTTTATCTGATAATCCTGCCATTAACACATTTCCTGTTAAAAAGTTATGAGGATCCTTCACTGTACTGTATCGAAGAGCAGCACTGTCACCCTAGGATAAGAAATGTGTTAGGGCTATAGAACACCTCCCTCTCTCTGCTCTTCTCCATAACATAAAGAGCAAAGCCGTTCTGTTGTCCACAGAATAGAACTTGTGAGATCTGATAACATTGTTTGAGATTTCAGTTTAGTCATACCTCCCAACTTTCAGAGATGGGAATGAGGGACACCTATTAGCAAAAGTATGTAAGTGCACAGGACATCCCCCCCCCCCCCACACCATTAAAAGAGAATTATACAAAATGATTGGTTAAACCCACAAGTGCTTTTTTTTTACCACTACTATTCCTTTATATTGGCTTTAAATATTAAAAATGCAGCAATCTAGAAATTGGATGAGAGGTTTAGCACTGTAAAACACTCTGATAAATAGTGCATTTAATATACAACTATATAGATCATACAAAAATGAGGGACAAATGAGGAGGAAGGAGGGACAGAGGGACTTTGTTCCAAATGAGGGACAGTCCCTCGAAATCAGGGACAGTTGGGAGCTATGGTTTAGTGCCTAGGACTCACAGGTTTAATGCTATCAGCTGGTATTTTTCTCTTCTTGCAGTCTAAAAACAAAAACAAATGCAGCTACCACATCTAAAGACTGTTGAGCTGTAATTTATTATTTATTACTTTTTTTTTAGATTTGCTTTAACGTCAACGTCTTCTTTCGATAAATCTAACCTAATCATCTTACGTAAATAGCAGTTTAATTTTAGATAATGTTAATCCTGTGAGCAACCAATATAATCTGTCTTAAAGTCTCCCAGGGATCCCCCTGAGAAAGCAACGTGACCTGTGGCGTAACACGTAGGGGAAGGGCAAGCGGACATCACGACGCTCGCGAGATCAACTGATGGGTAATGAGAAGAGAGCCTGTGATTGTTATTTTATGCTGTATATATCTGGTGCGATCGAGCACCTTGAAAATGGGAGTGGTATTTTAATGTTTTTAGCAAAAAAGCATTTTTAAGGATAAAACACTTTCTGCCTATTTTTGCTTTTTTACAGAGTGAATAACAGAGGAGGAGGCACGATAGAAGCACTAGAGATCCATCAGGGAAATATTCTAATAGTCCCATTAGGACACAATCACTTTATGACCAAACATTCTATAATGTGAGGTCAAACAGCTCCAGATGAGAACACATCTTGGGTGATGGTGGAGGAGCACAATTTATGATTATGAAGAGTTTGGTTGAATAGAACTGTGAAATGGTGCAACATTGGATGATTATCAAGAAATACACATTATATGGGATTTTTTTTACACATATGTTATGCTGATTTTTTACATATATGTTATGGTTTATTGATTTAGGTATGTCACAAGGGGTATTGTAGTATTGAGAGGCGCTGCACTAATATTTTATAGTTTGATTTTAGACATTGGTTTACAGTAGCCCTGGAAAATAAGACTTTACCTGTAAAATCCCTTTTTGGAGTCCATTACAAGACACATTGTATTCCGAAACACTGCATTATGCTGCCATCTTCAGAAGAAATGGATACTAGCAAAGAAAAGTTGTAAAGACAGCCCACTATAACCCCTCCTAGGCTTAGCATGCCTCAGTTTAGTAGCAAGAAATGAGAGCCATGGATCATAAGAACAAC